GAAATGGGAATCAAGCACAATGTGGGGACTGACTGTGGGCTTCATTTACTTAGGCTCCTGCTGCCCCTATCCCAGGGTTCCTTGAGGAGCTGACTCTGCCCTGGGGCTGGCATTTTTCTCCATCTTCACTCATTCCTGCATTACTGCATATTTCCCCCTGGGCCTGACCTAGTGTGACCTCTTGTCCAAAGTGGAACCTGACCCGCTGACCAGCTCTTTGCTGCCTCCTCCTCTGAAGGCTGCACCTGCTCCTAGCGGAGAAGACAAGTCAGAATCACCTACCCCCCACCCCTTGACTTTGGGAATTCCTACTCCCTGCAGATGTCCCTGTAGATCCCTCCCCGTGATACCCATTTGATAGTGGCAACCCCTTCCATTAAGTGTTCACTTTGCATAGTGAAGTTTAGAAACCTGGTCATCCTCCTGGTGTGTTTTTACCCCACTCACAAGTGATTTCCAAATGGATTGGTGAGTAGAGCCTGATCTGGGAGAGAATCTGCTTCTTCCTGGTTTATAAGTGTGACGTTATACAGTGGATTTTTGAAACCACCCTGTTATTTGCAGTACAATTTTAATGGGGTGTCTCTTTTGAAACTGACCACTGAACACATAACGCTGATGAGTGAACTTGCCTAGGTCGACAAAAACCAAAGCCTGCCCCATAAGTAGTAGATGAGGAAATGCTATTGAAATAACAGTAAGTAAACATCTACATAATCTGAATTCCTGTAAATTCTGGAGTCCTTCTAGAAAGTGTAAAATAGTTGCTTGGTAGACATGCTACCATTTAATAATAATAATAAATAGTTCACCACCGTTCCTTTGACTCTTGTTTGTATACCTGCCTCAGGGGAAAATCAGTACGCCTTGTTTGGAGCTGTTCAGATGTTCAGGCATTTGCAGTCGTATGGTGGGTAGCAGAGACTCTCATGTTAAGATTGTGATGATACACCAAATGGAAGCTGAAAATTCTCAATATACTGTGATTATAGGGGTTTTTAAAAGGGAAATGAAGAAAAGTGCTATCGAGTGAAGTAGGGCAAACCACTCCTGCAAAGATTTACAGGGTCCTTTTGAAAAATAGTTGTGACCTTGTATCAGAAAGCATCTGTTACATAGTAGGTTCTTGAAAATGTTGGCAAATTTCAAGGTAAAACTGGTGTTCTCAGAAACCCCTCAAAGAAACAAAGAGAGTTGTTGTCACAAACAATTACAATAATCGTTCTTTATTGAGCATCTACTATGTAACATTTTATGAGAGAGACTTCAAGTGCTGACTCTCCTTCCTGGACACATGGGAAGGCTACTTTGCCCAGTTCGCTTGTAGTTAGGAAGGCTCATTGACTGACCCTTGCCTCTGAAATATAAGCAGAAGCAATGTTTGTCACTTACAGGATAAGACATTTGAGAGTTAGTATGCCACCACCATGCTTTCTCCTCTATTCAGCAGCAAACATGGAGACCTCATGTTGAGAAGTGGAACTACAGTATGGACGCTGTCATGGTCTCGGGGTCACCTGGTAACAAAGATCTGCCAAATCACATCAAAATTGATGTGGACAAGAAATAAATTTTCGTTGTGTTAAGCCATTCAGATTTCAGTTGCTGTCTGTTGCATCAGTCTAAGCTTTTTCATACATAGATGTGCTATAAAAATATATTGTGATTTTTAAATATGATGAGTAGTCATGGACATATTCTTCCACTACCCTTTGCCACTTAATAAAATAAATGCAGGAATTCCCCATGACAACACATGTATATCTACTTCACTTCCTTAACTACTCTCATAGCATGAATGTGCCATGATTAATTTAAACAGTCTCCTCCTGATGGACATGTATGTTGTTTTCCATTTGTTGCTATGATTTATAGAACTGAAATCAACGTTTTGGACATGAATTATTGGGCTAAAATGCATGGTTTCTGATAGGAAAATGTCTTAGTTTCTGTCATGGATTGAATTGTGTCCCCCCAAAATATCTCTCAGTTTGGCTAGGTCATGATTCCAAGTGTTGTATGATTGTCTACCATTTTGTAATCTGATGTGATTTCCCTGTGTGTTGTATATTCTATTACGATGATGTAATAAGATGGATTAGCAGCAGTTATATTGATGAGATCTACAAGATTAGATAGTATCTTAAGCCCATCTCTTTTGAGATATAAAAGAGAGAAGCAAGCAGAAAGACATGGGGACCTCATACCACCAAGAAAGCAATGCAGGGAGCAGAGCACGTCCTTTGGACCTGAGGTTCCTGGGCAGAGAAGCTCCCAGACCAAGGGAAGACTGATTCATCACAAGGACCTTCCTCCAGAGCCGACGAAGAGAAAAAGCCTTCCCCTGGAGCTGACGCCCTGAATTTGGACTTGGAGCCTACTAGATTGTGAGAGAATAAATTTCTCTCTGTTAAAGCCGTCCACTTGTAGTATTTCTATTAGAACAGCACTAGATGACTAAGACAGTTTCTTAGGCTGCCATAACAAAATACCACAAAATGGATGGCTTTAAATAACAAATACTTATATTTTCATAGTTCCGAAGGATTGGAATCCAAATCAGGATATTGGCCATGACAATTCCTTCTGGGAACTTTGAGAGAGGAATTGTTTCATGCTTCTAGTTTCTGGTGGCTTCCAGCAATCCTTGGTGTTCCTTTGCTGCTTATAGATGCATCTGCCTCTGTTGTCACATGATGTCTGTCTTCCTTCTGGATGTGTCTCTATTTCCATGTCTGTTCTCCTCGTTTATAAGATGTCACTCAGAAGGGATTAGGACAAAGACTCACTCTACTCCGGTGTGACTTAACTGATAATATCGTCAAAGACAGACCCTATTTCCCCAAGCAAGATCACATTCACAGGCACAGGGGTTAAGACTTCAACATATCTTTTTTTTTTTTTTTAAATTATGTTTATTGAAGTATAATTTGTATATAAAGTTCAACCATTAAGCATACAATTAAATGAGTTTTGGCAAACATATATAGTTGTGTAACCACAACGTCAATTGAGATATAGATAATTTCCATTATCAGAAAAAGTTCCCTCTTGTCCCTTTGCAGTCAAACCCCTCCCCCTATGTCAGCCCCTGGCAACCACTGATCTACGTTCTGTCAATATAGTTTTGCCTTTTCTAGATATTTGAGTGATTTACGGTTTTTGGTGTTATGGATAAAGCTGCCCCTCAAAAGTTTCCTATTGT